TAGTTTTACTCGCAACTCCTTTTGGTTCCATGGGTTACGTTATTCCTGTTTGAACAGCTTGTTCATCTGTCACCTAGCTGTAGCCCTAAACACTGTTTTGATAATCTGCCTCAGACTGTATTCATGTAGTTGTCTTTGCGGGAACTGGACAGAGTTATTCTTCTTTAAAACATTTTCAAATACTGTACAATATGTGCTTTGAGCTGAATGTATTAGTCTTCTCAGACTAGAAAACATTTTAAGCAGCTAAGAATATGCTCTGAATCTGCAGTTCAGTACAACTTTTAAGTTGTTTTTTTTTTCGTTATCTCAAATTAGTGTAGCATCTGTAACTCTGGCAAGTACTTCTGGAATTAGGTATGGAGACAGCTGATCATCTGCTGATGGTAATAAAAACAAATGCATTTTATATAAGCAAGCAATACTGATGGTCAAAAGATAAATCATTGGCTTATTTGCAAACTGCACATGCTAATTTCTATCTAGGATGATGTGTATGGGTACAGAGCACACTACAGTAGTATATGGAGACATCCAGTTTTAATTCCATTACCAGAATGGTCCAGGCAGAATATATACTAGGTGTCTCTTACTAAGCCAGAGCTCGCCCTGCTTACTTTTCACACAGTGCTGCAATCGAGCACATAAAACTTCCCACTATGCCCTGTCATAGGGGAGAGGCAAATAGAGCTCTGTAACTGTTCACAATTTGATGTGAACAGAGGACTGCAAGCCACTCTTCTTGTATCTTAGTGTAAGAGGACTAGCACTTACTGTTTTAAGTCTCTTTCCATTTTTTACTTATATAAAATATACATATAATAAATCTATTAGCTGAATACAATTACTGCTGATGTCTTGTGCCCTAAAGATAATGTTTAAGGAACTATAGAGAAGTCCAGCAATAACTTCTTTTGCGGGTGTTAGTAACCTTATTTATCATTCCTTGCGTTTGACTGTATGTAACGCAAAACTCTGATTCATTATGTGGTAGGTTATTCAGCAGCATGGTAATAGTGCATGTTTTCCACCCTTCAAACTTTGTTGTTCTGATGCAAGATTCTAACTTTTTCCAGTATGCTCTACTGTTGTTCTCTGATACTCACTGTGTAACTTCCATTTCAATCAGAATTGAACTAACTTCTTTCAAACATCCTTTCAGAGTAGGATCCGGAGCATATGAACAGGTGGTGATAAAACGCTAGATTAGAAGAACTTAAACAGAAGAGAAAAGTTGGAGCTCCACAGTGGATACGTCAGTTCTTGTTTGCTCTGTTGTAAGAGTTGTAAAAGCCAAGATGAACTGTATGCAAGGTAGTTGGTGGGTGGGGGGTCCTTTTTAATTTGTTAATTAATGGAATGCCTCTTGTTCATAGAGCTTCAAATCTTCTGTGGTATGAAGGCAATGTTTAGCCACATATGCCTTGTGCAAGCACTTAAACTGTTTTTGTACGCTCGTCCTGCTGTTAGTGAATTACCTGCTTTGTAAGTTGTGTGAAACATGTTTGTGGAAGCATGATAAACGGTATTTCAGTGTTTTATACAGGAGATCAATTATGATGATACACTTTGTTTGCAACTTCTTTTCTAAAGAAGCCTCACCTTGAAAGAGTCAGTCTTAAATGAACCTGAAGAAATTAACTGGACTCAATTTGATCCTACCTGCAATTTTAATCTTACAGCAGCTAATTCCATCTATCAAAATTAATATGAAGTGAAGATTATGGTCTCCACAAAACAGCCCAGCTATGTTTTAAACATCCAAAATCTTCTCTTTAAAGTATTGAGCATAATCTTATTGTAGAGTAGAACACTAGAGGTTAGCTTCAAGGCGTTTAAAAAAACTACTACTAAAGAAATATCAACAATCCATTCATAGGTCATGTCACTTCTAAATGAAGTCTAGAGGATTAGGTACATCAAAATGTGACATCTGGTTTTGGATAAATGACAAAAGAAATGGGATTCAACATCAAAATACCAAGGCAAAGTAATGTATTACCCAGAAAGCCCTTTTGTGCCTGGGATTGTCAAGTCTAGAGTTTAAAGCTGCTTCCACAGAAACTTCAATAACGCAGAACCTTGATACGCAATGGATGGTACTGTTTAACAAACTACTCAATAACTTACACCACTATGAACTTTAGCTTAATCCTTCACAGCTGGTTAGTGCTCTGCTTGTATTTTGAATGTGCCTTGAGGAACAGGGAAGGTATGGGGGGTTAAACTCTACTGAACAACTTAAGCTTTAAAACTAGGCAAATACCTAAACTACTATCAGTGTAACCTACTAAGAGAAGCACTTTATTGTATACATTCTCTCTGCACTCGGGGAAAAAAAGCTTTACTGTGCAACAGACTTGTCACTTCATGTAAAACATTCCTTAACTCTCTGTCCATTATTACATTAAGGTAAATGTACTGTATTTAAATTTGCACAAATAGTTGACTGTGGCAGAAAAGATGAAAAAATCTTTTAAAATTACATTGAAGTACAGAAGAATCTATCTTTATAGGGATGTATGAGGTGAGACAGTTCAAATTCCAGCTTGGATCTGCTGTATTTAAATTGTAAACTGCAGATACTTAATTTTGTTATCACTTATTGTATCAATAAGGCTTGGATTAAATAGAAATAGTATAGCCACAGAAAGCTCTGAAGGCTTCAAACTTTCTCAGACTGATGTTTGACATCCTTTTGTAGAAATATAAGTAGGTCCTATTTCATAGGTTGAAGGAGAAAAAGGTTTATGTGTAACAGGTTTTATGTTTTTTTATAAATTCATAGCATAGTTAAACTCCATTTTATTTAGATTTTTAAGGAAATTTCAGAGTTTGAAGTTTGAGTAGTGTTATTGCGTATGATAAACACGAGCTATTTCTCAATTATGGTACTTATGCTTTTATTTCCTCCTGTTCATTATCATCTCTATACTTTTTAACCTATTGGAACAGTCCAAAGTAAAAATACAAAGGTTGTATTTTAGCTGCTGTTAGAAGAAGTGTGCAAAGAAATGTGTGTAAAAATATTTCCCCTGTGTTTACATAATGGGGCTAGAAATGTATGCTTGTATTACTTTTTTTTTAAAAAATCCAAATTTTTCTATTTTGGACAAAGCCAAGTGAGGGGGATTTTTATGAATTAGATAACAGGTATAACACTTTGTAAAAGTAATCTGCGACCCAGTAACTACCACTTCTTACATTTCCTATAAAAATGTTCATTCTTATCATTGACTGCAAAATTGAGTGCAGCAAATTTTCTTGCCTCCCCTGAAATTCAGTGGAGTATGTGTGCAAGAGTCTTTTTAGCCCTTCAATAACCAGAGGGGGAAAAAAGTAAAAATGCTAAAAATAATGTGGTAGTGAGTATAACCTATGGTTACAGCTGCTGTTTCTCCCAATTGTGTTCTCCTCACTCCATGAGGAACTACTGAAAGAAGTTAGATGAATGGTTCCATGTTGATCAGCTGCTCCTTTTATTTTGTTCTTTTTTTTACCCTTGTCCATCTACAACTACTAGTCATTCTTGGCTTCTGAGTATATTAAAATTGAGTCATTCCATCTTCAATCTACTTCTGGTTGAAGTAGAGCAACTTGTTATACTATACTATGATTATTGCTCTTCACAACAGAAGAGCAGCCACAAGGCTGGCTTATCTTGAAGGTAACCCTACCTTCTTCACTTGATATCATCATAATGTCAGTTAAACAAAACTTGAAGTCAGCAATAGATGCCATTATCCTTTTGTTCAAAAGAATCTTAGGATTTGTAAAGAACCTGAAAAAAATTGTTTCAAAACAGTGGTTGTTTTGCATTATGTGCAGCCTTTTGCTGAGATAAATTAATTACTGACAACTGATATTTGTTTTTAGTGCCAAATGCACAGCACCACTAATCATCTGTGTGTAAAGAATAGAGGGTTTTACTGATGCCAGGTATTTAACCTCATGATCACCTGTTTAAGTTCTAATGTTCAAAAGCATGTATTAGTTGTGTTTTTGCCCTCCATAGGAATTTTAAACAGAAAAAGCATAATAACTGCTAGTGTTCTGCTGCTTCTCAAAGCACAAGTTTCCTATCCTGTTACATAAATTACCAAAAAAAAACCAAAACACACTGTACTGCAAGTCAGAAGATGCATGAAACTGAAGTTATATTGCTTTCAGTACTCCTGATCATTGGTACGCTTTTGACAAATCCATCAAAAGCATGTACTAATGAGGTGGTCATGTACTACTCTTTGGGGGTTGGGTTAACAACTAACAAAAGTATACTTTTAAGAATGTTGTGCAAATATTTATATAATTACTAAAGGTGTTTCCATAGCCCAGATTTCTATTCTTTGTTAAAATAGAAAGCTAATTGCCATAGAATGGATTTTGTTTACTAGAAACAAATTATTTTCTTGCCTGAGGAGATCCTTTAAAATAGGAGGGACGTTTACATGGGGATCCATCTTTATTAAAAGATTATTAAAAGATGGATTCCAGTATTTTATTTTTCACACTTTGAGCTACAACTCTTTGAAGTGATTCCATAACTGTGCATATTTTAAGTGGAATGTGACCTTCATATTTAGATGTGGTATTTTCTTTTCTGTAAACTGTTATAAGTGTATCAGATTGTCTTTCAGTAAACTGTTTAGGGTATAGTTTTGTTTTTACTTTAAGTACATAATACAAAAGTCTCAGACATTCAATAAACTCAAGTCTTCAGCTTGGAATCTGTTTCTAAACAACTTTTTTTTTTTTTTAAGCAAAGAAGGCACATTCAACTGTGAACTTCAGTAAACTTCACTTTCTCTACTTCTTTTCAAACTTTCCCTCTGCAGCTTATTAAAATTCATACCTAGTCCAAAGTATTACATTGCATCATCATCAGTATTGTTAAGAGTCTTATGAGAGTCTCCTGGCTACAAAAAATGAGTATGTAGCAATATATGAAGAGATAAAAACAAATATTTCAAGGAGCAAGTGCTTAAACTACTCTTAATTCTTTAATGCAGAAGGGCATCATGAATTAGCTAGTTTAGTGCATGTTCTGAGAAGCAGATCTCCATTTTATTAGGGGGTAGGAAACTAGTAACTCTCATACTACTGCTTACTCAGACTCATGAGTCTATCACACAAATAAAAGTCAGTTTTAAAGTTTCAGGTGTATTAATGAATTACTAAACAGCCTCCACTGTCTACAACTTTTTCCCTACTTGGGAAAAGTAGGGTCGCTGTGTATATAGTCCCTTCTCATCTGACAACTGACAAAATTAATCCTTCCCCATTGAGTTTAATGTCTTACAGTGGATAAACCTCTCAGAGTATGCGTAACTCAGAAAAATAAGGAGGTATATTTACAAAAAAAACACCCATAGTCTATGTATTTTCTGACTCATCAGTCAACACAGCTATAAACAAGCTTTTTTGTACTGCAGTAAGTAAATAACTGTTCTTCCATTGAAAATTCTAGGTTGGTGAAAACTGCAGATAATTACAATACAAACTACCATTTTGGTACTCAATCCATTCAGCACTCAATTCACCGTGCAGTATTAAGGATTAAGAGTTTTTACTTTCCCTCTGGAGCTATGAGGCACCAGAACGTGCATGCTATCACTGAACACTTAAGTGCACTTTGTGCACACCTTCTGACAGGGGACTACAGCAACACACAGGCAAAGATTGGCATGGGGGGAAAAATTACTTTCTCTAATTCTAGAAGCAAAACAAGTCATTTTGCCTTCTTCCCCACCCAACCGCTCATTCCTGCCTGCTCTCCTTCCCTTTACTCCTTGAACCAGTGCAAGCTTCTGTGACAAGCAAGTTGATTCAATTCCCTGTATGGGCATAGAGCAGGATCTGTACGAGGAGGAGAAACGCAAACATTTTCTCAATATATTTATGTTTCTATGGGACAGATTAAGTCAGTTTTGTTCCTTGTTTGAAAACATTAAAGCATTGAGTAACATGCTTCTAACAATCTGAAGGGAGTCTGTAAATACAAGTTAGCAAACAGCAGCAAACTTTGTTCAAGTTCAGAGTTGCATGTACTAAAACTAAAATTGTTCATACGCTTGTAGTCTTTTTAGTACCTCTTCTTATGAGCTATTAACATTTCCCCAGTGTCTTCATTTAAGTATATGCTAGCATCAGTGCATTTTATTTACATTCCTAGTAAAAGTACTGAACATGAACAAGTTGTTTGTTTTGTATACCAGAAAGAAAATGCAATGAACTCTTTACATAAAAAACAATCTGCCATTTCAGAAGCTCTTTTCCTTTGTTTCTTCTATTCTATTGAAACAGAAAAACAAAAAGAATCCCAACAGCTCACCATTACGTGTTGCATATAACCCAGCTGTAACTGAAATGATCCAAATCACATTTAGCAACCTCATGTTTACAAGCCTGGAACAGAGCCTAATACCATGGAAGCCCATGAAAGAAAGGACTGAAACAGAAGTTTCATGTTAGTTCTAAGATCTATCCATTTGAGAAGGGCCTGGGGAGATGGACAGGTAACTCCTCAGGCCTCCAAAAATTCAGGATTGCTTTTCGTAGGACTGACTTAGGCAACTGTGGGTTTTTTGTTTTATTATATGTAATTTGAGGGGTTTTTTAAAAAATTTATTTATACTACTTTTTCCTTAGTTTACTTCTCCTAAAACACCATCACCAAAATCATTCTGTTCAGCCATTCTGACCATATTCCATTCTTTGCTAGCTTGCTCAGTAACTATCAAGTTACCTCCTTTATATTTAAGATACTACACTGTATTTTTACCACACTGGCTTTCTTGTCCACCTTTATTCCACATGCTTTCTCCAATCCTCTGCTTCAGTTCTGATGCCACAAACAGTATATGGAACTATTTTCTTCTCCTGGGCCTGTTATGATCCTACTTTTAAACTCTTCAAAACTATTATTTGGCTATTTCCCACTACTTATCTTTCTTCTGATGCTCTTTATTCACTTCTGCACCTGGTTAAACCCAAACAATTGCAAAAGTAATTCAAATTGCTTGTACTGATAAAATTTTTCTGACAAATCAATAACCTTTCCCCCTCCCTCCCACCTTCCTACATCCCCTGACAGTGCAATATTTATAGAAATTTGCATACTTTAATACAGCCTCATTAAGAAGATTTCCCCAAGGAATGAATGCAAGAAAGTCAAAGCAAACAAAATCCTTTCCAGCCACAAGTTCAAACAGTAAAGCAACTGGGCTTTCTATGGAATTAAAGGCAGTTCCCAAAACAGTTTTACTTCTTTAAGAACACAGAACTCAAAATCTTAAGAGTAATTTTACAATTATCCAGTTCAAAGCAAGCATAAACTGAGCAAGCAGTTAATAAGTCTCTTAATTTTTTCTGAAAAATCCCTGTGACAGTCATAAATGGGTAATATTTCTTATTTCAGAATGTTTATCAAAGGAAGTCAATGACAGATCCACTTTGTTTAGATTTTAAAATTTAGAACAACCTAAGGTCAATCTGTTTTGAGATACGTATGCCATCTCCTGGTCAGTAATATTGTCACATGCAAGCTAAAACATTTAGTCTGCATATACTTCCTTTCAGCATCCCGATTTGAAATATGGGATTGATCTTGGTCTGTCTGAAACTGAAAGTTTAAATGTGACACAATAAATACTGCCTTTATTCGCAAATATGCGTAAAATTTTAATCAAATGTTAGCTGAACACAGAATTGAAGGCAAATATTCCAGGTCTGGAATCCTCCATGTTCCTTTTCCTCACTTTAAAATGACCAAGCTACAAAGTATACTAAATAAATAAATATAAACAAGAGAAAATTACATGGGTAGTAAGAAGTACCACGGTCCAAAAATCTTCTAATTAAAGAAACTACACAGTGAACAGCTGAGATATTTCCTAAGAAGAAACTAATGCAACTGGACCCACTCTCAAACAGCTATGCTTATTAGTATCCAAAGAATATTTACCAATTTTGAATTTTACAAATACTTTAACATACAAGGTGTGGCAGGCTGGTATCACAATGTAAATAAATATATACATACATTGTGTTAAAAATTAATTTCTAATAAGCCATTTCTATTTATCGAGGGAGAAAATTCCCCCACAAAAGAGAGATTATTAAGTGAGCATTTTTTAATCATTCCATATGATAGAGCAGTGCAGATCAGTCTTCTCTTTCTGAAGCTCAGAAACTCAGCCTGTTAAAGATTAACCTTTCCTCAATTCAGAGAAATTTCCCTTTATGTCTGGTCTTTAACCTTAACGAATTCAAGCAAATTTCCAGATATTTAGAACAGACTTTTTATTTTCGGAAAGTTGTGAAACTTTCATATTTCAGAAACAGGAAGTCAGCTTCTATAAGAATTGCTCATTCAAAGCTGCCAAAGAAACTGTGAAATATATACTGAGTGAGGCCTTTTAATTAACCATCTCTTTACTCTTAACAAATACTTCAGGTAAGATATTATGTAAATGGGGTATAAGAAGAAACTCAAAAAGTTGCAGTGATTAACTGTAGTACCCCTGTAAGAATATGCCAATCCTGTGCATCCTTCAACATTTCGGTCTTCCGAATTCAATAGTCTAACATTTGCTTACTATGCATTTACACATACAATTCAAGTCTACTTAGAAAAGCAGCTATCTTGGCCAAGCCACTGTCAATAACACCTATACGTTTTATTTCGACTGAATGTGTCCGCAAGAATTTTTGGACGATAACTACACATGAAAAGGGATAATTTTTTTCCAGGCACGTGGGGGCCAGATTATCATTCGTAATGACAGATTTTTTTCAAAAACAGAATAGTCAGAGATATCAATTTCAAATGGAGTAAGTTCAGCTTCTGGAGAGTTACGGCATGAAAATTATTTCTCAAGCAGTAGTTAAGAAGAAACTGGAGAAAATCTACCTGTTTTTGCTACCTTACATTCGAGGTCATGGTGCTTTTTCCCAGTTATTGAATTTACTGACCTTTAACCATCTGCAACATATTTCAGTGCATCTGGAATACTATTTAGTTTTCTCCAAGGCTGACATCCTGGAAACAGCATCCACAAATTTTATTCCATTAAGAAAAAAAATCTGCCTTAAACCTACGCCTGACTCATCATATTATTCAGCGTAACAATGTAGTTCTGTGTTCCCATCCACCATCCTTGGAGCTAACAAAAGATTACCAAGAGTCCAGTCAGAATAACTACTACATTTTGCTTCTTGATAGGGATTAACTCCTTCATTTGTATCCCCTGACACTCTTTTTCTAAAAATCCTATGGGTTTTAGTGATCTTTGCCAGAACCATTAATTTACCACTAAATGAGAGAGGTGCTAATGGGTAAATACTGGAAGGATTAAATATGAATGTAATTGCCTTTTGCAGTTCTAGTTCGCATGCAGAACACACCAGACTAAAACTACAAAAAACAATACCTTCATTACTTTAACTAAACTTTGTGCGAGAAATCTGCAATCTAATTCTCCTCCTCTTCATTTTCATGTTCAGTGTTCACCATAACACCAGAACCATCACTGCTCAGTGTGACCTTGCCAGTAATAAGCTTGCATAACTTCTCAAACGTGCCACAAAGTTGATTCACTTTGGGAAAAGAGAAGATTTTTGTAAGAGGTACATAAACCGCATTTCCATTGACAAATGGCTCCAGGCTTTTTCCAACAGCCAATTTTTCAAGATCTTCTGAAACACAGTTCTTTGAATGTTGGAATTTAGATTTTATCTCAACAGGACCATCATTATACTCCTCATGCTCTGATTTTAAATGGTCCAGCAGACTTCGCTTAATGACCTGTGCTGTGAAAATAACTTCACTGACCACTGCATTCTGCAGGTACTTCTCATCTTTAAGACTTGGATACACTGCTTTGAAGACCTTTACAACATACAAGAACACATAAAACAATTATCACAGACTCGTATCTCAACAACTGCTTGTCAAAAACAGCTTCTAAAATGTGAATATATTTTTGATTAAATCCTGTATTGTTTTTGGCTTTAAACATTTTCAGATTACAGGAAAACTAGACAGTATCACTGGATTATTATACCTCACAACTACAATGGCAATTAGAAAAGCTAACAGAACTTCAAAAAGCAGGCTTATATCCACAAGCTATACTTGAAGATCAGTCAGGTGAAGCCCTGCAATTCTTTAGTTCTTCTCAGTCGTTCTCTTATTTTCCATATTACTGATGAGAAGGATCTGGTGACAGTCCCACAGCTATGTAGATTCTGAACTGCTTCCAAACTGTCATGAAGAAACTGGGGCTGCAGCTATGCCTTTTACTCTGTTTTCAGCGTGAAACATGAAAAGCTGCTCTTTCAGATGCAGAGAACGCTAACAAAACCTGCCAAAACCAAACAACTGTGGTATGTTCTACTCTGAGCTATACTCCCGGGGGAATTAAGGAAACCAGGCAGGCAACCTCATTCCCGCTAGCTTACTAGGCAGGGCTTTATACCACCAACCTATTACCACTAAAGTTTCACAGTCCATGACAATTCCATATTACTTTCTGATTAGACCTTAAAGTGTTCATTTATTCCCCTAAAATGGTTACTTAATAAAATAAAAATTAATTTGATAGTCCAGTTTTCATAAGAAACATGTAAGATGTAACCGTCCTCTTGTTTAAACTCAAATGGTGTTAATGTTGAAACTATGTCCATGAGGACCCTGCGACAGAGCAAAATCAAAGCAATTTCTAATATGATATGTCAGGCACCTAGACATATTTCCCAGTTCACGTCTTGAGGACTAAAAAGCATTTCAGTATTCTGACAAAGACAGTTAGCAAATAGGTGAGATTTCAAATGCATAGAACGCCTTTATAGCTTAGAAACTACAGAAGACGTCCCCATAAATTAAAATACATTTCACTTCAAGTCACGAGTAGCTTAAAGATACGTATATATTTTTAAACAAAGATGTGAAATATTAGAATATGCTCACTGAAACAAATCATTCAAGGCCTCATAAGACTGAAAATAAAACAATGTATTTGTCTTTTTGCATTATTACTTAATGCTCAGTTATCTCTGAAAAAAATATTCTACGTGGCGCTTAATTAGAGGCATTAGACTTTGCCTTTGTGACACATTGCAATATTCAGCCCAGTACTTGACAAAAATGTTAATTTTGGCTCTACAACAGTCCTGACAGACTTACCCCTGCCAGGGCAAGAACATAAAACTGGGTCACTGAGCCCAAAGTTTCAATCATAGGCTACTATATATCATAGTATCATAAGATATTAAAATCTGAAGATATTCAGTCCAAAAAGATTCTTTTTTTTTTTTGGTATATTCCTACATACTATTTTTCAAAACTCTAACACAAAACTTTAGTTCTAAAAACACTGAAAGCTAGAAAGCTTTAATGTGTGCCAGTGGAGAACAGGGAACTTGGCAGGATCCTATGCCTCTACAAGAGTCAGAGCTGATTACCCACAAACACTGAAGTTAGGCAGTGGACTACATCACATGCTGCAGAGGAAGGCAAACCACACGAAACAGGCCCTGTCAATCCAATTTCAGCCAAATGCCTACCTTCCAATAATATATCTGATGAGGCTATGCAGTCCTTCAAAACATACACTCCCTGTTAGGAGCGCTTTTTTATGTTTGTTTGTTTGTTTTAATGTATATGAAACAGTCTGTATCACGTGCCAACCACCTTAACAGCCACATGATAGAAAAGAATGACTACAGTAATGATTATAAAAACAGTGTCACAGTATATCTGGAGGAAGGAAGAATTGTCATTCTAGGGATAAGAGCGAGTTACAATAAGAACACTTACGCATATTGTTATTTAGCTAATAATCTATAAGTTAAAGGCCTGTATATAATTAAAAACACATGGACTTATACTCTTCTGAAGTGGTAGTGCATGCTACAGAGCTAAGACCTAGTAGCAATAGTAGATTGCAATAGTAGTAAGAGCACTTCACAGGCAGATCATAGAAAAAAAAAATTTTTTTTCTCATCTTCCTAAAGAAAGGAAACAGAATACTTACAGTTTTGTAAGCTGCTTTGGTGGGTTTCTCAAAATGAGCAGTTTCACTGGTTTGGGAATATTTTCTTACAAACACACCTATTTGGGTACAAAACCCAACATCCTCCATTCCTGTTGGTGGGGGCCCTACGCCAGTAAATTCCACTGAGTAATCGTAGCATCTAGCAATATTTAGTGCCCTGAGAAAAACAACATAATCTGATCATACTAAATACTCACCTTTTAAGGTGATAAACACTCACTCTCTTAGAGAAGCAAGATCCTGACCCTGTGAATGCTCAAGCACAGTTTCTTTAATAGTATTGCCTCACATGCCTGAAGATAAGCACTGTCAAAACTTTTGCTGCATCACAGCTGCCATCAATTCCTATCATACTCCAAACCATTTAATATCAATAATCTAAGTAACCCAAAATTATTATTTCTAAAATACCCCCATAGAATGCTATGTCCATTCCCAGTTGCTTACTCACTGTCTTATAAACATTCAAAAATTAACAATATACCAAAAAAAGCAGTTTTAGAGCACAGAAATACTTGAGAAGAACCCCTAAGAAACCGCACACCTCTCAAAAGTCACGAGAGACTCGTTAATAGGAAAAAAAAAAAAAAAAAAAAGAGGTAAGGTTGTTTTAAATATAGAAAGAACAAAGTCTACCAGCTCAAGGTTACAACAATGCCCATGACATCTAGATGAAAAACGATATTGTAGCACTGTACAACCAGTAATACAACCCATATGAAATGACTGATGGGACAAGGAAGCAGGGGACTAAAATGGCACTACCTACCTGCTGCATTCTCCATGAGGAAGTACCAAACTGAATTTGTATCTTATTTCTTTTAGAGAATACTGCAATACCCATATTTCACAACACAAATTTAAAGACCTGCTCATGCTTATAGCTCCAAAAATACCATTCTTCGAGGGATATCAATAGTTCTAATTCATACATACCCAAAAGTTGAATCTAAATTTACTTTAATTACTTGAAGTTATGTAAATAGTCTCTCAGGTATTCATTCTTCCACAAATAATGCAGGCAGGTCTTAGTATCATTATTCAGGGCAATATCTAATCTTCAAGTTTTGCAAAGCTATATACTTAACAATCACTGCATACTTCAAATACTGAAGTCTATGGCAGAAATAACCTAATTCAAGGGGCAGATTTCTCAAGATACAATTTCTGGAAAAAATCTGGCAATTGAACGAAGGCATCTTTTACTCCAAAATGTATTTTCTTGCGCAACTGCCTGAAACGTCAGTGTTCCCACAGGACATGTATCCTGTTCTCTCTTTTTTTTTTTTTGCTTTGATTACACCTGTTGATATTACAGGGAGACGTATCTTGTGCAACTTCCGGCCATGTTCATATGTTCTGCATCAGATCTTTTGGTGTGCTGCGATCCACTAAAACATCCTTAACTTTGTTCTACGTGCTCTGCTATTAGGATTATTGATAAATCTGCTTGCATACTCTTACATAAAAGTCCAGAATAACAAAGTGGGCACAGTTCTGAGGAGTTTATGAAGCATTTCTATAGCAGGATATTATGTTAAATGGCTTATTTAATACTTCATACTTCTACTGCATAAACTATAATAAATATGCATAAAAAGGACAAACAAAACTTTGGAGTATTTTTGCAGAGCAGTTACAATAAAAGTAAGCCAATTTAAAAACATCATAAAATGCAAATCCACAGAGCATGCTTAACTATTTATATTGTAATAGCAAAGACATGTTTCACTATATCAGTAGGTGTGAAACTCCACTGACACAAAACCACGTAGAAAAACCATACTGAAAAATTATAGCTATCTCTTTTTCATATTACTTAACACTCAAAGCTGTCAGCACATGATGTTCAGTAAACTCACCAGCTTTGAAATTCTGCTTGGTTCCATTCAAATTTGTGGTCTGGATGCCGGAATAATGTTACTCCTGGAAGCAATGGGTTAAATTCTGAATTTGGAGTACTTATCACAACCATGGTTGGAGCCATGAAACCAAACACCACTTCAGGAAACTTTTCCAGTTCTGATTCTTCCAGATGCTCTATTCTGTAAAGCAAAAGTTTTTGTAGGTCCTTAAAAACACCTTACTATAGTCTTTTAATTTTCGCAACAACTAGTCAAAAAAAAAAAACCCCAACCTCAAACCCATATCTGTATCTTGGAATTTTAAGCCTAGGTCTTCAATATTAGCAGCGGCAGTGTGGCTACTTAGGCTTTTTGTCTGAGAAGATTTTCTCTTGCATTTTGTTCTCTTTCATGCATATTCCTTTTTTCACCATGAGCTACCACTGCTAGAATATCTTAGTATGATTAATCTGAGCACAAATTAGAAGGTGCCACCTTCTGCTACTCTTCTGCTTGAAAGGGTTGATCAAGTCTGTTTTGAGTAAGGACCTTACGTTCTAAGTTCAACCCTTGTTAACTTGCTGAGTATTGCAACATTTAAGTACCACGCCAAAGAAAAAATACAGCAAGAAATGTGGAATTCTGATCTACTTATAAACATTCATAAGCAAAAGGCTAAAGAGTGTAGTAAGTTGGCCTGATACTCACAATTCAATGCATGTTACCAAGTCAAAACCAAGCATGCAGGGATCTTTATGAGCAACTGAGCCATGATGCAAGGTAACAGTTAGAGATCTTTCAGCTGGTTGCAAATAATCACCAGGAAGAGGAGACAACCTATGCCTGCAGAAGTATAAAAAAAGCGACATCAAATTTTGTAACTGTACTAGTTGATATCCTGCTTGGATACTTTGTAAATCTCCCAAAGATTAGTTCTTTTAAAGGGAAAAAAAATTCTAATGCAAACAAGCAAACTCTTTTTATGAGTATCTACCATAGGACATAAAGAGCAGAAGAGTTAATCCAGCAGCTGTCCGTCATGTTTGGAAGAAAAACCCCACTATATTCTCAAGACTCTCTGAAAGGAAAGGATGCAGTAAATTCTGATAGTAGCTCAACTCTAGAAACACAGTAAAACTCATTAAGACATGCTTTATAAGGTTTTTGGACATTATTAGGACATAATTATTAACCTAATTTTATTTTCCAAAGATTAAAAAAAAAAAAAGAGAACTCAAATGTATGTGCAAATTTTATTCTGAAATATGGTATCAGATAAATAAAACGTAAGAAACATTAAATTTAATAAAATTTAATTTTCTTCACCACTGAGAAAGGGCAAACAACAATGTCATAATCTATATCCTACGTATTAATTGAATCCACATTAATCAGCTTTCAAGAGAGCAATCTTGGCATTCCTCACCAGACTGCCCCAGGATTGAAAAATTATATAAATTTCAAATTTTAGAGCCTTCTCAGCCACACATAAAAACACTGACCTACCCTTACCGTTTTAAAAAGGAAAATAAGAATGAAGTCCACCCCATGGTCACCAAAGGAATGTTACATACACATTTTACAAAAGATCAGATTTGCATCCCATAGTAATGCCATACATGAGCATAAACAGAACTAATAATACCAGTCATATACAATGTTTTAGCATCTTTACAAACTCAGTATATTTCCCAGACGTACACACTTTCTTAGCCATTCCATGCCCTAGACCTTTGCTGCATTAGGCAATGTTATGGGCACATAATGTAGTCAGTTAACCTGCAGGAGATAACAGCGTTTGCAGAGTTGGTATTTCTGCATTTACCCTTGTTTAGAAATTCTTGACAAGAAATGATGTCACATTCCACTAGGCCAAGCCAAATACAAACCTTAAATATACATAACAATGTAAGAGCTTACATTTTCTCCTTCATCACGTTCTCACAGATATCTAGCCCAGCTAACACTTCAATGCAACTGCAGAATTTTAGCATCCAGAGAAGAGTACAGTCAGCACATCCCAAATCTGCCACCTGTAAATTAGATTTTAAACAATGTGTAAGTGTAACAATGTTAATATTTCTAAGTAATTTTGGAGACTTTCATAAAACATATTCTATATTTCTACTAAAACAACATTGTAATGACAAAAAATTCATAACTGTAACTAAAATATACGGTTTCATGCAACAAGATACATGACTCTGAAAATTACTTTTAAAAGATAATAATATAAAGGTCTTACAAGATATGAGTTGACCTCTTGTTATTACAGATATAACCAAGTACCTGTAGAACGTTCTACTGACTCCAGAAAACGTCTTCCACATAAAGGTATAGTCCCTCAAATAACTATACGTATGATTTTGACTGTTAAAATTGTAGTAACTATGAATTTGCTGTAGCTGTACGTTGGCTGCTTTTCACTGGACTACCCTCTATGCCATACAAAAACACTGAGAATAGGCTCACCAGCAGCCAGGTAAGTAGCAAAGGATCTACATGACACAAGTTTACAGTCCCAACCTAATGTTTAAGGGGCTGAGGACCTTCTGACCACAACATCCAATACGTAATAGATACCTTTTGCTATAAGCTTAAGAAGTAGTGGAGTACAACTCCAAACAAACCACACCCCACTGTTTTTGTCTCAAGTTGTCTGTAAGTCAAAGTTAAAGCACACTGCTCAGTTCTGATCGCAGACATCCTGAATTGTTTTCTCTTACTTACCCCTACCCTGTGGGTAAAGAGAAAGCTCCATCTCCCTCCCCCCCCGCAAAGTTTTACATTTTAAGAGAGGACTTTCAAACCTTGAAATACAGATACAATACTTCTGAATGCATTCTATTTAAAAACAGATGAGAATGCCATGACCTCATGGACTGGATTAGCAGTTACTAGCAGTATGAGTAGGTGAGCACACTGCCAGTGCATTTCTCATCAATTGCATGCTTCCTAATATATCAAAATCCGTTTCACAGAGTTACACATTGAAGATAGTGTTAATTCTCAACTTTCGAAGTTTTTGAGGAAGGTGCTGGGGAGGAGGTCCTATTACAAAAGAGCAACCACTGCACAGCACTCTTTAATTTATATTTTCAGAGTACTGAAAACAAGAGTGCTGGGATATTTGGCTGGGGGTGGGGGGGAGGGAGAAGAGAGGACTTTAAGAAAGTGGTCACTTCTCATATGAGACCATCCATGTGAAAGATGAGGTAAACCTGATGGAACTATACACTCCAGAAAGCAAAGGGAATCTAAGTTGAAAGAAGGGAGAACCGGAAGTCATAAAACCCCAAAACCATAAATTAAAACCAGAATGCCACCTACTCTCCAGAACAGGCTAAGACATTTTTCCTGTTTATTTTCCCCTCTTCCCATCAATTAATATTAATTACATGCACCACTGAAAAACAAAACAGGATCACCAGAAATGTCTGCTATGGCAATTTGGTTTTAACAATAGTTCCTGAAGTACTGTTGCTTGGTAATTATGTCATGAGAGGTTATCTAGGCATTTCCTATGTTCCTGAGATATCTTATGTATCTTATTTTTTAAATGTAAAGTGTAAAAAGACAAAACATACTAACCTTCTTAGGTTTGTATTTCCCCACTAAATCTTTGATGAACTGGTAACGTTGTTTGTACAACGGAGGTGTGAATTTAATCATTCCCATAAACCGTTCTTCTTGAACATTCTTATCCATATATTTTGATAATGCTAAAATAAAAGAGTTAACTTATTTTCTGAAGTATTTTATAACATACCAAATTACAGCGTTGTCTGTTTTCTGTGTTTTTCGACTCACTATTAAGCAGGGGTAGACCTAATCCCACTTCTATTTAAGAGAATACCAAAAACATAAGGAGCAAAACTGGGCCCTGGCTGCTTTCCCCCGCTTTGTAATGATGGGACTATCCTTTTTACAAAGCAGTTACAATTCACATACAGTTATAAAAAAAGCGTATTTCCTAATTTACTGTCACTCTCCGTTCAGCACACAGTGTTTACCCAGACTGCAATGTATCTTACTTTCAAGTAAGTGCAGAAAAATAACACCCCGTCCAAGCGACTGCTTTCCTGCCCCTCCTCTATCATTTGTTTTATCTTACTATTCGGATGACTCTGTACCTAGATTTGTGTATGTCCAGCTCACCGCAGCTTCTGCAAAGTAACAGGCAGAGGGAAAGATCCGAATAAGTTATTATGTCATTACAAGATGAAAGCCTCCGCCAGGCTTCAGCTTTACTATGAGCCAGACCTTGTTATTCGCGCCTGCCCTTTATAAGCAGTCCACCGTAGCCCTAACTCGCCT